TGTTAAGTCAGAAGTACCAGCGCTGGGTAATTTGAGTGGTTGGGGATTCAGGATGGGATGGTAACAGACTTTTGGAACCCCACTTTAGTGGGTTAAGGTGCCTCAGAATGTCCATTTCTTGTTAGAAAAAAAATGTCCTCCCTAATCCTCCCAGGGAATGTCCCTTTCTTATATAGAGACAGTGTGCTATGATATGACGTTTATGTCAGGACCTGCGTCATTGTGATGGATCTGTGTTGACTGAGAGTCTCGCATTGAACATCAGTGCTCAGTCCGTGAATCTCGGTGCCAAGGAACCCACTCAGTTCAACAACTTACCTTTGACACTGAACCCCCACTGCGAGAGCTGTTCTAGCTTCTCTTCCTTTTCTCCTCATCTTACGATTAGCAGAATTGAGTAGTACTTGCAGCGCCCTTGTGCCTCGCCTACGCATTGTTCGTCTTTCACAGACAGATAAACAGCTGGCCGAGGTGAATGCCAAGCTAGGAGCATTCGGTATGGCGAAGCAGTTGGAGGATGAAACGGAAGCCGACCGAGTTGGTGCGATCAGCCAGGTGGCAGTCGAACAGACTGCCTTGGGTGAATCGCGCAAATTGTTCGAAGAACTGCTCTCAGGCATCTATACCGCAGCCGCGAATGCCTGGAAAGACCAGGCTCAGGTGGTCAACAACTTCGGGGCCAGAATGAAGGCATGTACAGATCCGTAGATTGGAGTGAGCTATGGGGCGATTGGTGGAATCACATTTGGCATAAAGAAAGGGATTGTAGCACTGGTCAGCAGCAGTCGACGCCGGTCTCGGAGGCAGGTGATTAAATATGTTGCTGCCTAAAATAACGAAACTCGGAGAAAACGGGCATGATCCATCTTCATTGCATGTTCCGTTAAATTCAAGCTACTTCATTATGTCGTCGAGTTCACTCTTTCTTTCCCAAGATGCAGAGCGATAGGGGTTCAAGCCCAACGTCGCGCACGGCCATCCACGTCGGTACACCGCACCAGAGCCCGCCGCCGTGCAAGCTGAAGAAGCAGCCCCCGTCATGCGACGACTTTGGCGTTGCATTCATCTGCGCCCTGCCAATCGAGGCTGCCGCAATCATTGCGCTCTTCGATGAGCAATGGGACTACGGAGCGCTGGACAAAGCTGACACCGACACCAACCAATACTCCCTCGGCTCCATCGCCGAATGCTGCGTTGTCCTCGCGCACATGCCCGGCATGGGCAAGGTTGCCGCCGCGACTGTGGCAGGAAACCTCCGGTCCAGCTTTCGCTATCTCAAACTCATTCTCGTCGTGGGCATCTGCGGCGGTGTCCCGAAAGCACCAAGCAAGGCCTGGGATGAGCTACTCCTGGGTGATGTTGTCGTGAGCACCGGCCTTGTTCAGTACGATTTTGGCCGGCAATTGCCCAACCGCTTTGTCCGCAAAGACACAGTCGAAGACAATCTGTCGAGACTGTCCGTTGAGGCCGGTTGTATACTGGCCAAGCTGCGGACCGAACAAGCCAGGGAGGGTCTTTGCCGTAGCATGTCACGGCATCTTGGTACCATCCAGAACCGACTTGGAGCTAAAGTCGCTTACCCCGGAAGAAGCAACGACATGCTCTTCAGATCAGACTACCTCCACAAGCATCACAAAGTCGGCCAATGTTCTGTGTGTGCCGGAGATGTGGCCGCCGTCTGCGACCAAGCCTTCGAGAGGAGCTGTGAGGAGCTCGGCTGTGGTCACTTACCATCGGATCTGATACCTCGCCTCCGGCCGGAACATGAGCTGGACCCTGTTGTGCACTTTGGCCTTTTCGGCTCTGGAGACACCGTCATGCGATCCGGAACGGACCGCGACGAGATAGCTGACCGGAACGGTATCTTGGCTTTTGAGATGGAGGGCGCGGGCCTGTGGGAGATGCTGCGGGTTTCTTCTTGCCTCATCGTCAAGAGTGTCTGCGACTACTCGGATAGCCACAAGAACAAGTCGTTCCAGGGCTACGCCGCGGCGGTGGCAGCGGCTACAGCCAAGGCTTTGCTCCAGTGTTGGACTGCATGTAAGTGAGCCTGGGCTTTGACCCGACACTGTTTCCTCTCCCCATCTGCCTTGTTTCAGATTGATGCTAACTTCTGTGTAAGGTATGCCCAAATCCCTGCAGGCGCGCCATCCAAGTCGAAGGCCACCAAGGAACAGGAGGCCGCCCCTGACTGCCGGGGAAATCAGAGTGCTGAACAGACTCAAAACACTGCCATATTCAGATCGGAAAGATCGGAATCCACGCCGAGTTCCGGGTACCTGCGAGTGGTTCGTCCGACATAAGCTCTTCCGCGGCTGGTTGGAAGGCGTCGATAGCCAGTCCAGCGCTCTCTGGGCATCTGCTGATCCTGGATGTGGAAAATCAGTGCTCGCTAGATACCTTGTCGACAATGTTCTTCCGACTAGCGAAACCAGAACAACGTGCTACTTTTTCTTCAAGGACGACTTTGAGGATCAAAAGAGCGTGGTGGACGCCCTTAAGTGTATATTGCACCAGCTTTTTACCCAAAAACCCGTGCTATTCTCCGATGCAATTCGCGCCCAGATTGAGGCGGAGGAGGACAAGCTGGCCCTTTCATTCCGTGACCTTTGGGACATTCTTCTAAGAGCGGCTGACACCGAAGACGCCGGGGAAGTACTCTGCATCTTTGACGCTCTTGATGAGTGCGGATTGGAAGACCGTTCGAAGCTCACGGCTGCTCTGATTGACCTGCGACACACCAAGAAGGCCCCGAATCTAAAGTTTCTTCTGACCAGCAGGCCTTATGGCACCATCCGGCGCAGTTTTCAGCTTCCAGACGCTCCAGATCTCGCAGTCATCCACCTGAGCGGAGAAGACGAAGCAGAGATAGAGCAAATATCCAGAGAGATCGACATCTTCATCAAAGCCAGGGTTCAAGGCATCGGGGCCAGACTTATGCTTGGCGAGGAACGACAAGAGCTCCTCCTTCGCAGTCTCTTAAATGTCCCGCACCGGACCTATCTTTGGGTGTACCTCACTCTCAGTTTGGTCGAAAGTGACGAGAACATTACCAAGGGCAAGATAAGACAGACTACTTCGCTACTCCCACGGTCTGTTGACGAAGCCTATGAGAAAATCCTCTCTGCCAGCCGGGATCCAGACGAGGCTCGGAGAGCCCTGCACATAATTGTGGCGGCGAAGACGCCTTTGACGCTCGGCGAGATGAACTTTGCCTTGACACTCCGGTCGTCACACCGGTCATACCATGACGTTGACCTTACCTCCGACGGGTGGTTTCGAGAGCGGCTACGGGATATCTGCGGTCTTTTTGTGACGGTCATCAACTCGAAGATCTATCTGCTTCACCAGACTGCTAAAGAATTTCTGGTGAAGCCCGACCGGGAGGAAGAACGCATCCTGAAGCTCAGATGGAAACACTCCTTGGATCCGTCCGAATCACACCGCATCCTGGGAGAGATCTGTCTCTGGAACCTGCAGTTTCCTGAACTGCACAAGCATATGGACATCGGATTCTGGGACATTCGAGACTGCGTAAGGCACTATCAGTTTCTCGAATATTCTACCGTTGCTTGGGCCAGTCATCTGCTAGCACAAGATGTGAAAATTGACAAGCTACTGATAGAGGCAATACTGGATCTCTACCGCCGATGCGATAGACATTGTCCATTTTGGTTTCAGCTCATAGCGGCGGAGGCCCCTGCCAATACTGTTTACGGCGTTACCCTTCCGACCATTGCGGACGACCCGGACAGGACTCTGTTGATGATTGCCTCGTTTTTTGGGCTCGCTCCCGTCGTGGAGGCTCTCATCAAGACGGGCGGCGGCGGCGGGCTTCTAGCTAGGGACAGTCAAGGAAGGACGGCATTGACCTGGGCTGTAATGTATGGCCACCACGATGCTGCCAGGATATTGATCGAATCTCAACCTGGCGTGCTCAGGGGCCTGAGTTGGCTAGGACTTTGGAAGCCGGCTATCGTTGAGGCAGCGAATAACAAGGGGGAAACCCCACTAATTCACGCCGTCCTGGGTGTTTCGGAAAGCCTTACCAGACTACTCCTTGACAAGGGCGCCAATATAGAAGCGAGGGACGTACGGGGTGCGACTGCGTTATGGCATGCGGCAGGCGAAGTGAACTGCGCAGCCGTCGTCAAGCTTCTTTTGGACAAGGGCGCCGATACCGAGGCGAAAGATAACGAGCTCGAAGAGACACCGCTGTACAAAGCTTGCCGATACCCTGCCGCGGATGTGCCAGCTCTGCTACTCCAGAAGGGGGCCAACGTCGATAGCCGGAATGGGTCCGACGACCAAACGCCGCTAATGACGGCGATTGAATACGGACGGGCGGCCACTACCCAGCTCTTGCTCGACCACGGTGCCAACATCCAGCCCAAGACCAAGAAGGGACACTCGGCGTTCTCGTTGGCCTGCAGCGAGGGCAATCTGGACGTCATCAAACTTTTCCTCCAGAGGGGGACTGATGTTGAATCAAAGGATACATCCGTCGGAATGTCCGCTCTAGCTGAGGCCGCCCGGTGTGGGCGTCACGCCGTGGCACAAGTTCTGCTCGACTATGGTGCCGATTTGGAGTCAAAAGATGTTGAAGGGCGGACGCCCTTGGCGTGGGCTGCCTTCTCAGGGCACTGCGATAAAACCGTCTTGGTCTTGCTACAAGCTGGTGCCAACGTGAACTCCAGAGGCCGAGATGGGAGGAATGCCCTGCACAGGACAGTTTTGAACCAGGGAAACAGAAAGATTGTCGAGTTACTCCTAGAACACGGAGCAGACCTGGAGCACAAGGATAATAGTGGGAGGACGGCAGTCTCATATGCTGCCGGTCGCAGGTGGGATCCCAGTTTGGTTGAGCTGCTGCTGAAAAGGGGCGCAGAGGTGAACGCGAAGGATAACCGCGGCAGAACTCCGCTCTTTTGGGCTACCGACAGAGGAGTCAGTCCTTCTCATGCCAAAATCCTGATTCAGCACGGCGCTGATGTCAACGCGAGGGATAAGGAGGGCAAGACGCCCCTCGCACTGGCTTGTGGTGAGACGGGAAACCCGCTGACTGCACAGTTTCTGCGGGAAATGTGCATCTGATGGGGAGTAGGCAGGGCTTTGAACAGATGAGGCAATGTTATACGATTGATTGGTTGTCTCATATGCTAAGTCAAACTGGGCTGTCATTGGACGACGTTCCTGTTTTGGGTATATGTGCTGTTTTTAGTGATGAGGATCTACAGGAAGTGGATGCGGAGAAGAGATCTCGCGCAGTTTTAAAGACGCTTATCAGTTGGTAGTGGAGATGTTGAAAATTTCGAGGCCTGTTCCCTTCATTTCTCGCCAGGGTATAATTCAAGGCATATGGAAGGTTGACGGAGAAGAAGCATGGAAACTCGCGGGCAATGATTTGGCGCGCCATCCAGCAAGGGGCAGCAGACATTACAAGGTTGTACGTATGATGAGGGCTTGGCTTCAGGTGTCCCGTAGACCGCCTCGGTTACCGCTGCCATGAGCCTGTCCGTCTGCTGCTGGACACTGCCGTCCCAGGGGATACGTTCGAGGTTCGCTGCCACTCAGTCCTAATCTCCCGCCAGGGCGCATTTTTGAAGAAGAACCTAGTATCGCTGGGACGGTCCTCCACCGTGATGTCGAAAGCTGTTTCGATCGCTCTATGGTCCGAGCCATGGTCGCAGGGGTGAATCGTGCATCTGAGTAGCTGGTCTGCCAGTTCTGCAGATACCAGTACCAGGTCGATTGTGCTCTCGGTTGCCCGACTGCCACGTCTTCGTGCATCTTGGGAGGAGGCTGCAGAGGGAGTGTTCGTCCATGAGGTTGACGATGCGGTCTCCTTCGCCTTGTCTCA